TCCCTGTTCCTCAACATAATATTTTAAAATATCACGTTGACAGGTTTGACGAGAAAATTTTGTAAATGCAGGATAAAAACCATCTCTAAATAAATCTTCAAATTCATCATCTTCTACTAATTTAAAAGGAAGGTTTTTAAGAACAATAAACCTGATTACGCATTTCCGGGCTCGGGCAGCGTCATAATTCCAACTGCCGAGGGTACCTGAAGAGGATGATTGGGAAAGCATAGACTGCCGGATATCACCTTGTAGATTTTGGCCTTTGTTGTGTTTTTCAATATGCCGTTTGAGATGGTTGGTGCCGCTCTTATGATGAGCTTTGAATATCTGGCCGCACAACGCACATTTCGCATTCTGAGAGATGATCCTACCGTGTTCATCCTTGGTGACGTCTATCTTCTCAAAAAAATTCCATACATCAGACCTCGGCCTTTTTGGAGCTCTTGGTGCCGTAGATTCGTCGCCACCAGATTCAGGATTAACACCGGTAGGATGAGGAGTTGTTGTAGGAGGACTCATCTCTGGATCGGTAGGAGTTGCATGTTGCTCTTCATAATCAGACCCAGAAGCCATTTGTTGGAAGTATTAGAAAATACAAAAGATTATAGGATAGTATATAAGTATATTAGTATGAGATAGTATAAGATTGTATAAGAGAGTAGTAGAGAGAGAAATAGATGAGTTTTGTTGTGAGAAAATGAATTGAAACCCCCCTCTATTTATAGAAGCAGCCCCCTAGGTAAATGACCAAAAAGCCCTCGATTTTTAGCCGTTTTTTGACCGTTTTAAGGGGCAAAACGGTCAAAAGACCAAATCTGGCCGTTAGGCCAGATTTGGCCCGGGCCGGGCTGGCCCGGGCCGGGCTGGCCCGGGCCGGCCAAACGGTCACTTTTGTGACCGTTCGGCCCGGACCGGGCCGGCCCGGACCGGGCAACGGTCACCTTTGTGACCGTTCGGCCCGGCCCGGACCGGGGTCAACGGTCACGTTTGTGACCGTTATGGCCGGGCCGGGCCGGCCATTCGAAGCCACAGTGCCTTTTTTCGGCACTGTTCCGGGCCCGGGCCGGGCCCGGACAGGGCTCGTCAACGGCGACCCGGGCCCGGACCCGGGTTTTGCCCGGGTTTCCGGGCCCGGGCCCGGGCCGGACACCGGGCCGGGCCCCGGCTCCGGGCTTTTTGGACACCCCTAGGTCCACCCCCGTATTTTAGAAGCAGGATTATGACGCATACCTTCACACAGGTTCTACGCGGCAAATCCTTCTACCAAGATGCCTTTGAAGCGAGTGCAGAGAACGACTCCTTTATGATAAGGAATCAACAACTCCAAGATCAGAGTTAAGATCCAAAGTATTCTGAAAATTCGTCCCAGTCAATCGTGAACTTTCAAAAACTTTGGAGGGGGTTCTGTAGGCTGTCTAAAAATCACAATAAATAGCCAATCCCTATCAAACACCGATGATGGAAGTTACAATACGACGACTTCCAGAAGGTTACAATTTAAAGACTTTTACGTAGATAGATGAAGGTTACAAACTGACGACCTTTGCAACAACTGATGAAAGCTCTAATCAACAGCCTTCACAATCAGCATCAGGAGTTATAATCTGACGACTCTCTTATTTGCAAGGAGCCAAGATGAAGATTACAAGATGACGGTCTTTGCAACGCTCCAGTAAAAGAGACCACAAATTAATGATCTCTTCACATCAAAACGCAGAGGTCATCCTTGCGTTTCACTATCAAAACACAGATGTCATCCCTTTGTTATACCATCAAAACACAGAGGTCATACCCATGTTCCAGAGTCAAAACACAAGGGCCATCCCCAGCATTCAAGTCCAGACGCAAAGTTCATGGACTCAGAAACGCAGAGTTCATGCAGAGTCCAACTCTACATCTCAGGTCCAAAACACAGAGTTCATGCAGAGCCCAACTCTGCGTCTAAGGTCCAAAACACGGAGTTCATCTCTGCGTCTCAACTCTGCGTTTCAGATTTATAACACAGCACGACCTGTGTGTTCAGCCACCAAAATAGGCCCAACTCTATATTTTTAGTCTAAAACGCAGGGTTCGGGCCCTGAACGCTATTTTTCAGCGTTTGACTTGTTCAAAGCACGAACTGGACGGTTTCAAAATCGTTCTCCTCACGATTTGGGGAGCTATTTAAGGGAGGTGGTTACACCCCATTCAACCTCACTTATGAGCGAATTAAGGGGACGGTTATACCCCTTAATCCCGTATAAATAGTGGGAAACTCAATTGAGTTTGGTAGGGATTTTTTGGCTCTGAGATTGATCCTTCTTTTTGGGCAGCAAAGAAGATATCTTTGGCTGGCTTTTTAGGAGAATTGTTGGAGCTTCTTGCAGTGACAAAGTTCCTTGAAGCCTTCGGCCTTGGCTTGTCAAACCGATTTTTGGTTAAATCAACTCTTTCATAGAGTTTCAAACTCGTCAAACCGATTTTTGGTTAAATCAACTCTTTCATAGAGTTTCAAACTCGTTCAGAGTTATCAACTCATTAAGAGTTCTAAAACCTTTCATAGAGTTTCAAACTCGTTCAGAGTTATCAACTCATTAAGAGTTCTAAAACTTGCTTTGCAAGTTTTCCATAGAATCAAAATCATGAGGAGGAGATACCATTCCAGTGAATCAAGATGTTCGGATCATCAACGGAGAGCGAACTTGACGCAAGCATTCGAGGGAGGCACTCCATCACCACTGTGAAGAACCCAGAATTAAATAAAGGAGAGAATCCAGATCATTCTCCTCTCTTTTGTACTCAGGAAATCAAAAAATTTGCATACAAATTTCCTGTTTGTACTTAGTAATCTGTAGATTCACTATTTTAAAAAAATAGCAAGCTGTAGTTATCATGCAACTCAATGGATTCCCTTATCCTTTCATAATCTTCTTCTTCAACATAGATTTCCCTTAGCCTTTCATAATCTTCTTCTTCAACATAGATTTCATTCAAAGCTTCATTCACAACAGATGCATTATTGCTCTGTACCACGACCATATATGATTTCACAAGATGCAAGTGACTAGCCTGAAAACCAGGAGAAATGGCGAATACAAATGGGTTAGCATGGAATATTTAACTTGTGATTGTAAATAAATCTACCACAAAAAAAGAATTTTCAAAAGCACTACAAAACATCATTTGATAATATAACTCTGAATTGAAATAGGATAGGAAACATGCTTCAAATTAGTAACGAATAATTTCACTGAAATATAGATACAAACCCATTTCTAGCATGTAATTTATTCCCATGTAGATTATTTCATTTAGCTATATTTGTGGGAATAAAAAGAATAAAGAGCGACCAAATTTAGGGTTCCGTAATTCATGAGATGAGATAGATCAACCAAATTTAACGAATCTAGAATGAAATTAAGCATAAATAATACCAAAAATAGGAAAACAATCGATTAACAATATTTCATGGTTTTGATATGAAATTATTCATCAACTAATCAACGAAAGGGAACATCATACAGAAATTATACCTGTAATTTCCGAAATCTAACAAATCAAGCAAAAACCCGACGATTTCCACTAAGAAAGGCAGGGATTTTGGCAAAGCCGACAAAAAATAAAACGAAATTCGAGGGAGGAGTCGACAAAATTTGAGGGAGGAGTAGACGACGAGATTCGAGAGAAGTCGACGATGAAATTCAAGGGAGAAGTCGACGACGAAATTCGAGGGACGACGAGCTACGACGCAACAAGATTCGAAGGATGAGCTTTTGAGGGAGGAGTGAGCAACCAGCTTCGAGGGAGAACAATGAATACCCGAGCTCTAGAATCCACTTGGAGTCACGGATCTGTAGAGGGGGGGGGGGGGGGGGGGGGGGGGAGAGGAGAGAGGAACCGATCAGATCTGAAGGAGGTGAGGGGAGAGAGAGAAAGAGAGGAGAGAGGAGGCGATCATATCTGGAGGAGGCTGATAGAACGAAGAAGAAAAGTGAAACCCTAGCTCTAGAATCCTCTCTCTTAGCTATTTATATGGATAGCCTTTGTAAATAAAATTTTAGATAAGTAATATTTGTAATAAATTAAATTAATAGGACTAAAATGCAAAAACTAATCGAATAGTTAATGGACTTCCGAAACAAACATACCTTTTGTTAAATTCTATTCATTTATAAGAGGAATACTAAAAATTATTTGTTTAGTACTAATTGAACTACCGAACCGAACTTGATCGAATATCTAGACGAATAATAACCGTCATAAGACTATTTATATATGGGGAAGAAGCTGTAAAATTTTTTTTGATGGGTAATGTTTGCAACAAGTTTAATTAATAGGATTAACATAAAAAGGTTACCGAATAGTTAATAATCACCCTGATCGAATATAACTTTAGTTAAATTCTATTTGTTTGTAAGTTGAATACTAAAAATAATCATTTAGTATTAAATGAACAGTCGAATCGAATATAACCGAATATCTAGACAGATATTAAGCAAATTGTTTATTAAATATTTGGTTTGTTTCCACCCCTAACCATCATATACTGCTTTGAATTATTCCTCAACCACCCCTAACCATCATATACTGCTTTGAATTATTCCTCAACGCAAGCCTCAAATTAATCTGAATAATCATCAATGTAGACGAATGTATAAGCGTCAGATCACAAAAATTTTGGTAACATATATTTTATATATTTTTAAATTTTAAATTTTAAGAATATAATAATCAAATCAAATGTATTAAAACTTAGAGAGACACAAATTTAAAATACAATGATAAAAAAATAAACGGCCGTGTTTTGCACGGGGTCCATACTAGTTAGATGAATAGCTAAACCAGCAATTGGAGGACCCAGATCAAACTGTATCTCGAGCGAACCCAAGATACGAACGATTTCGTCCGGGCTTGCCCGATCCCGGATTCCCCCCGCCTAAACGAGCCCGAATTCCTCCAAAATTTCGAACTTTCAAACCAAAATCAAAACCAATTCTTCCCCCTCCCTCGAAATCGAAAACCCTGAGACTTCAAAAAAAAAACACACAAAATCCCCAAATCCCAAAACTTCCTACAGAGCGCGCCCCAAAAAATTTTTCTGACCTTTTCTTTTCAAAATCCAAACTTTTTTCTAATGGCGGACTCCCTCCTCTCCAATCCCTCTCTCTAAAACCCCCCCTCCCCTTTCTCCATTCTCCATTCCTCTCATCTCATTCAACCTTGTCCCTCTCTCTCTCATCAAGCATCTAAATCTCTAGTTCTTGGAGGCCATGGCGGACAAAGAGAACTGCGTCCGCCTCACTCGCGCCCAGGCCAAGAAGAGGTCCGCCGCCTCTCTTCAAGCCCAGCCCATGGCCTCCAACCCCAAAAGGAAGCGGACTGCCCTTGCCGAGATCCCAATCTCAACCAATGCCCCGGCGAAGCCTGTGACTAGAATGAGCAAGAAGAAGGAAGAGGCGAAGAAGGCTGTAACGTTACCTCCGGCGGCCGACGAGGCCGTTCATTCCGATCTCGATGACCCCCAAATGTGCCCGCATTACGCTACCGACATCCACCAGTATCTGCGGTCGATGGAGGTAAGAGATCGTCAAGATCTGATTTTGACTGTGGATTTGACATGGCTTTTGCTTGAATTGAGATGGGTTTGTTCGATTTGTTTTGACTTCAGGTGGAGGCTAAGAGGCGGCCGATGGTCAATTTTATCGAGAAGGTTCAGACTGATGTTACGGCAAACATGAGAGGGATCTTGGTGGATTGGCTGATTGAGGTTGCCGAGGAGTATAAGCTTGCTTCCGATACCCTCTATCTCACAATTTCGTATATCGACCGGTATCTGTCGTCGAATGTGCTCAACAGGCAGAAGTTGCAGCTTCTTGGTGTTTCTGCTATGCTAATTGCCTCGTACGTATCTTTTTGACCACATTTCTTAATTTAGGGGCTTTTGTTTGCTTTTTCCATGTTGAATGATCATTTTGGTGAAATGATTGTAGGAAGTATGAAGAGATAACTCCTCCACATGTGGAAGATTTCTGTTACATAACCGATAACACATACACCAAGCAAGAGGTAACCTTTGCTTCGTGTTATGGGCAATTAATATTTCTTACTACTGGAGATCCTGTGGAATAAGTTGGTAAATTTGTGCATTTATGTGCACAGGTGGTGAAAATGGAGTCTGATATACTGAAGTTTCTCAATTTTGAGATGGGCAATCCCACCATCAAAACCTTTCTCAGGTACTGGATCTTGGTTTAATCCCAACTTTTTTTTACTGAGTCTCTTTGCGTTACTGCATTTGTGCTAATTGCTGTTAAAATTTTATCTTATGTAGGAGGTTCATAAAGGCTGGTCTGGATGATAGCAAAGTAAGTTGGACTATATTTTTTATCAAAATTTTTGCATTTAGTATCATTTCCTTGATTCTTGTATTAATAGTTATTTTGAAAATTTATCTGCAGTATAATGATTTGAATCTGGAGTTTCTTGCCAATTATATTGCTGAGTTAAGTCTAGTAGATTATGGATGTGTACAGTTTTTGCCATCCACTGTTGCTGCTTCTGCTGTCTTTCTCGCGAGATTAACCTTGCTCCCAGATTCACATCCTTGGGTAAAAGCTGATTGAAACTTTTTTTAATCCTGTTTATTATTAATATATGTTTTTTGTTGTTCTAAATTGTCTAGAATCTCATCGCAGAGCTCAAAGTTGCAACAACAAACAAATTATAAGCTGTCTGATCTAAAGGATTGCATCAAAGCCTTGCATGACTTGCAGTTGAACAAGAAAAAGTCCTCTCTGACTGCCGTCAGAGAAAAATACAAGCAGCACAAGGTAAAAATCTTAACCTCTATCGACCAATTCCTTTGAATATTACAAAATTTCAAGGCATTTGACTGATTTGGGCCTGTTTTATTTCAGCAGTTCAAGTTTGTAACAACGCTGGTTCCTCCCTTGGAGATTCCGACATCATACTTTGAAGGCTTCTAAATTCATCTCAGCTTGAGGATAGCACATCTAACTTTAGAAGGAGATGGAAGTCTTGTTCATTTTGGTGTATTAACACAAATTGTATGTATTATGTCAATGGTTGTTCTTAACAACAATGTTTTAGGATGCGGCATGACATTGTTTTCTTTCTGAACCTTTCTGTTCTTTTTCACTGAAATGCCAAATTTTGGTAGTTCCGATGTATGATGTATCTCTTTCTGAACCTTTCTGTTCTTTTTCACTGAAATGCCAAATTTTGGTAGTTCCGATGTATGATGTATCTAGTATTTGTCATTTAGAAAGGAATAGAAGAAAATCTTACTTTTGATCCATTCTCATTAGGTATTATTCCCTTTGGCTGTTTGAGTAAGCTGAGCACGACTCGAGGGGAGTTCCATTATTAGGAACCTTACTAAACAATGTCTGAAAGCTGAAATCTGGACTGTGTATTAATTTTCAAAGCATGTGGCCTGATCATAAGGAACCACCTCTAATACTTGGTACTCTATGCATCTGTGTTCCTGGAATAAACCTTTTCTTTTTTAACCCGTCCATCGCTCTAATGAAAATGGTTCATGTACCTAGTTAATCTCCATGACAATGCGAATGCTTGTAAAAGCTTAAACTTAACATTGAATTAATCGCGTCTCACTTTGTCATACAAGCTCGTATGCTGGATAGGATTATCCAATTCTCATCAACCTAAACTTGTATTTATACTGTTTATACTTGTTGCTTACAAAAAGAATGGATTTACATGGTGTGTTCAGTGTGCGCTGAAAGTTTTGTTTTTGTAAAACCCCCAAATATTTATTGCAGTTATTTCAGAATACCTGAAAGAAAAAATACATAACCAATGCAATAATTTGTTATTATTCACCTAGAGGTCAATAATAGTTGGAAATAATATGAAGACGGGTGTAAAGGCAAAAATTGAGTTTATCTCTCCTTATTCTCTCTTACATTAGGGATGGATATACTGCCAAAAATATAAAACGGAAAAAGATTCTAATGCTTTCATTCATTTTTTGATGGAAAATTTCATTCGTCATTATACCAAAAATTGGATGTTCTAATGCACAAATTTGGCGGGTAACTCTCGGGTTCCATCGGCTGATATGGCACCAGCAACCAATCCCCATTACTCTCACATGTATCACGTGCTGCCGCCGCTGACCTACTTGCTATTTGTCTCTCCGTTCGCGCGAATCCCATATTTCTCCGAATCCAAATCCAAATCTCCTTTCGATCTCCAAAATTTTGAACTTCCAATCAAATCTAAACTCTCCCTCTCAGAATGCCCCCACATTTTTTTTCTTCCCGTTTTCGTTTCAAAAACCTAAAAACTATGGTGCCCTCCTCCGCCCTTCAGAAATCCCAAACTAAATCCTAACCCTAGTTGTAAATAAGAAGGTAGGAAAGTGATATGATATGAAGGTAGGATTTGATATGTTTTGATTTGGAGGTTCGATTTGATGTGGGCTTTGTTTGAGATGAATTGGGTTTCTTGTGTTTCTTTTGAGTTTTATGCCGAGACAGAAGAGGAGGAAAGCGAGGAGAGCGATCTTGATGCATTGACCTACTGAAGGTACCGTTTACATCTTAATTGATGTATCATGTATTCATAAATTTGTAGAAGCCGCAGTTCTTGATATTTCTGTGTTATGCTAATTGTCTCTTGTTTATCAAGCATTTAATATATTTATGATGGTCTTAAAATGGGATTGTTTTCGTAGTCAGAATCTGACGGTGGCATGACAGTATTGATGAATGAAGACGGTTTCACTGCCAAATTATGGACACTGTGGTGATCAGCAAGCTCGTTAATGCCCTTTTCCTTACCATTTTAAGCGCTAAGAATATAGGTTCATGGAAGGGAACCATCAAAGGCAAGGAGATTGAAACCTCTATCGGCCTACATTTTGATAAGTAGTTTAAGAGGCACGATTGTCAAATATAATGTATCCACATACCTGTGCAATTTTGAAAGCCATGTTTGGTAAGATTTAATCTTTTGCAATTCTCTAAGAAGTTCCTTATAATTGTAGAAATGATCGTGAAAAGTTTTAAAGTTACGTCCCTTTTGAAGGATGCATATCCACCTTTTACGAGCGAGACATTTGATGCAAGACAATGGTGGTGCGTGGAGGGTGGAGAAAACAAATGCCAATGTAATCTAATGACGGCACAATGAACTTTAGGAAGAATGTTAAACTTGCTATTTTCCTATTCTCAAATTAGAATGGTGGCATTAGGACCAAAAGAGAGGAACCTACCAAGATCAATGCTAGAGTAAACAACACAATTACCGCCACGAGACAGAATATTCAGACACATCTACCCTCCATCTACCTAGCTATAGTAACACCTATTTTTAATAGTAATCACCTAACTCTAATAGTATTTACCTACCTCTAAACCAATGTTATAAATAACCCCCAAAGTGTTTGTTTGAAATCATCTCAGTAGCAGAGAGAGAAAGGGAGGGAGGGAGGGAGGGAGAATTTGAGAGTATAATGTGTTTGTACCACTAAAGAAATAATAACAAAATATTTCTTAGTGTCCACCACTCCTTTCAACTCTACAAGTGGTATCAGAGCCTGACTTAGGATGCGCGTATTTGCTTATCATATGCTCTATAGCTGCCACCAAAGATGGATCCTCCACACCAGAAAATAAGTTAGATTATCATTTACCTTTTAAAGATATTGAGCACTATTTACGAGTACGATACTATTCATAAGTATAATTACTATTCACAAATATGGGCACTAATCATAAGTACTATTACTGTTCACATGAAATAGTAGAAATTGCAGCTCGTGATAGAAGCAAGGCGGTCAGGGACCTGCTCTCTCTTACGGTGATTCTTTTGGTATTTTTGAAGGCCGAAGTTTGTGTTCAGTCCTACACTGTAAAGTTAGTTGGTCAAGGACCATACTTGCGTGGAGATATTGAAGTAGTACCATGTCACGATCGCGGATCTGATAAATATGACTACTACACACAAGAACTCAATGATAATAACTATAACTACTGGGAGATGTGTATGAATTCTTATTTACAAGGACAAGACCTCTAGGAGGTCATTGGGGGTGTTGAAACTACAATACCTCGGGAAGCTGGCGAAGCACTAAGAAAGTGGAACATCAAAGCCGACAAAGCTATGTATGTGCTGAAGACGACAGTAGAAGAAGATCTCGTAGACTATATGCGAGATGCTAGAACTCCGAAGGAGGCATGAGATACACTTGTGATACTCTTCTCGAAAAAGAACGATGCTCGATTTCAACTCGTGGAGAATCAATTGATGACCTTGTAATAGAAGGACCTAACAATCAATCAGTACTTCAAGCAAGTAAAATCACTCCGTTCAGATATTGCTCAACTAGATTATGACGCCCCTGTTTTCACGCAAGGCTACAGTCCAAGGTGAACCCAGAGATGTCAAACCTGCTATGGACCCACACTTATGTATAAACACGTTTCACCAATCACAACAGTATCCTCTAGTGGAATCAAAGAAAAGTACAGGTACAAAACATGCAAAATAAAGAACTGAACATGATAGACATGATAAAGAAAGAGATATCTCATAAATAAAAATCATGCCTCAATAGAAATACATCTACTGTCTGAGATAAATAAATGTCTCATCATGAATCAAATAAATATCGTACTAAGACACACTACCTTTACAATATGGAAATTAAATACTAATATCTGAATAAAAATGTAAAATATACTGTGGAGCCTCTACTAATACTCATGTGACGAAGACTATGTAAGAACTCCGTTATCCTACGGCTCTCCGTACCTCTTGTTAGACCCTAGAGGGGGGGGGAGGGGTGATTAGGGTCTTATGCTAATCTAATCTGATTTTATGCCAATTAAAACTAATTAACAAGTTATCCTAGTAAGTATAAAATACAATAAGATATGTGAGCTAGGATAAGTGATATACACAAGGGTAAACAAAATAAACAAGATAGTGAACGATATAAATAATGAGCAATGGACAATGGCGATAAGAAATATAAACATAAGAGTAAGTGCGCCAAAGCAAACTCAAACACACAAAATGATCACGGAGTTCGGACCTCCGTCCTACGTCTCCGCTCCCCACTCCCGGGGAGAAATCCACTATCACAATCAGGTTTTCTACGCTTACCTGAATAACGTTTACACATCACAATGTCGGTTTCAACGCTCACCGATCAATGTTCACACCTCACACTCTCACTTGGTTTTCTAGCTCACCGAAAACTTTACAACAACACACTCGGTTTTCTAGCTCACCGAAAACCTTACAATCTCATAATATAACAAATGATTTGTTCTCTACAATAGATGAGAACTCAATGTAGGCTCACACTCAATGTTACAACTCTCACCATTCCAAATATACTATGTATGAAAATACAATAAGCTCAAGTGGGTGTGTGTAAACAATGAGTGAAATCAAATCAATAAAACTCAATTAAAATCTAGCTTATGAGAACTTATGAATAAAACAGTAAATAGGTAGAAATAGAGTTTAGGAAAACTTCTCTATAGATCAAAAGGGAGATGTAGAAGAGTTGGATGCTCAAACAATATAGATGATCTTCCTCAAGCTCTTGTGAAATTGTTTTCACAAAACAAACCCTTTAAACAAACTTAAAACAAACTTAAACTCTTTTAAAACTTCTTTAAAACATTCTCTTAGTTATCCATGAAAGATGAGAGCAAGGGGTATATATAGCCTCCCAAAATCTCAGCCAAAAACCCAACAGAAAAGACCAAAAAGCCCCCTAAAAAACAGCTCAAGAAATAGCCGTTGAAGCAGATTTGACTGTTCGGCGATTGACCGTGAAACAAATTCCAAAAAATATAAAACTTTGGAAAATAATTATAGACATGATAATACACATGCTATAAAAATTGGTTTTCAAAAAGGACCTCCCAAATAAAAAATATCATTATTTTACAAAATAGTCCAAAATATGAAAATGTGAACATATGAGTTTTGACATTTTAGCTTAACCATATTTTAAAACAATACAAAATAATTTTTTCAAAATAAAACTTGAAAATTCAAAACCATGTATATATATATAACTAAATATACATAGAAACAAAAACTTAACTTGTGTATATATATATATATATATATATATACAAAGAAACCAATAAAATGTGCGTGTGTATATTGTATTGAGCTTAATGTACTAACACACATAATATAAACTCCCAAACTAAATTACCTAAGCTTGATCTTGATCTTTAATAGCTTGACTTGGTAAGCTTGCGGATGAAGCTTGAACTTGGATCTTCAATTTGAATTGTACATAGCTTCACCTACTATTCCGCC